CAGCGGCTCGATCACTCCCCCCTTTCTTCTCCCCCCTGCTCCCGGAGGGATGGGGAGGAGAATCGGAGGAATGTAACTCCCACGGGTTGAGATAACAGCTCTCCAGTAACTAAGGTATAATACAAACCACTACTGCTACCAATAATAATGATATGGGGAATAACAAGGAGAGAGGACACAACCGCTCACCACCCGCCGACCGATACCCAGCCCGACCCGAGCAGCGATCTGGGCCTTCCGGGTAACTCCCCCCAGTTTCTATCCTGGGCATGACGTGCTGTGGTATGGAATAGCCCTTTGGCCAGTTTGGGTCAGGTGTCCTGTCTCTGCTTCCTCCCGGCTTCCCCTCCTCCCTGGCAGAGCATGAGACTGAGAAAGTCCTTGGTCAGAGTAAACATTACTGAGCAACAACTAAAATCATCGGTGTTATCAGTGTTGTTCCCAGGCTGAAAGTCAAAACCACAGCACTGCACCAGCTGCTAAGGAGAAAAATGACTGCTACAGCTGAACCCAGGACAACCCCCTTCAGATACTGGAAGGCTGCTTTGTATACACATATATATAAAAAACAGTGAGTTATTGGAACAGTGTGTTTAAGTTGCTTCTAATTATATTCCCAGCAATAAATCACAACACGCAGCCCATTAATTAAAGAGTAGTAGAGAATTCCCAATTTCTTTTGTGCAGGGCTCGTGCTTCTGCAAAAGGCTAATTTCAAAGCTTCTGCACTTACTGATAGCTATTTTTAAAAGCATTTTCAAGGAGTTAAACTAATTGAATGTATCACAAAACAGAAGAACTGCTAAGAACTGGCTTTTAGCTGGAGAGGGAAGACCAGGAAGAAAAATCTGTGCTGAGCTTGCATAACAGGTGAGCTGAAGTGAGGCAGCTGCACTGCAAGGTTTGACTTGAACATCAGGTAGGAAAAGAAAACATTGTTAAGTTTAATCACAAGAACAGCTAAGGGAAAAATAAATAATCTGCTTTTAGCCATTCATCTTAAAGCCCAGGGTTAGCAGACAATGTCAGGCTAATTCAGTTTCTCATACTATAATGCACTTAGAGGTTTAAGTTTCCATCCAGAAAGTCCAAAAAACAGTTTATGCCATTTAAGAAAAAACCTGTGTGCATTTAAGCAACAGCTAGGTTATATTTAGCAGTGACTCCATCAGCCACAGTCAACTGCTCTTTGTTTAAAGGCAAGAATAAACCCAAGTGAGATTTTGTCTCTACCTCCAAGGACTCCTGCAGCTGGCTCCTTGGCTCAGGTGGCTCCTGAAGTTTGCAGTTCAGGCTCAGATGAGCTTTGGGATTACTTAGTCCTGGTGAGCCTGCAAAGCCCAGGGTGACCATACAGCAAGAACAGTCTCTTTATGCATTCCCATCACTTGAACTGTGTTTCTTTTTTTTTTGCAGCTGAAAATGAACCTATGATCAATGAGTTTAATCCTCTTTCCACCCATTGCCACTACACACCATGCAAACACAGTGACAGTACAACCCACCATCTGCAACTTCCCTGCCACGGCTAGATTTCCCATATAGAGAATTTATATGGGAAACGCAAGCAAAAGCAGGAGGTTTAAGTCAGGTACACACAACAAATCCTGATGTTAAAACACCCAGGGCCTCACTGGATAGAGCTAAAATGCCAGAAAAACAAATGCTGCTACTCTGTAGCATCAGAGAGGTCAGGCTGGGTTTTGTTAATGAAAGAAAAACTAAAAATCCCATCGTAATTCTTGAAAACCCCATGAGGCCCATCAAATGGCCATTCTGCTTCCAGATCTAAAGGGAAACTTGTGTTTCCTCCTCAGAGATTGCAGGGGAGAAGGACACTGGGCTAAGGGATTTGCAAGATGAGCTGACAACCACTACGCATACAGTATGAAAAACAGAGAGGAAATCCCAGGATTTACGCAAAATACTGAAGTGAGGATATGGGAAGACATACAGGAAAAGTAGGGAGGAAAAGTTAGGGGGGAACCGGGTAAATTATCCCTGGAGCTGCAGATTCTGGAAGTCCAGCTTAGAGTCTGCTGTTGGTTTAAGAGATGGCAGCAGGAAGAAAGCTAATGTTGCGCCCCGTTTTGTTCCAGGTTTGTGTTGATGGATCCAGCAGCATTCCCATGCTGCTTTCTTCATAAAACATGGTAGGAGGTAAAACTACAGTAGAGGCTGAATTAGTTCCTCATCACTAACTTTCAGTATTTGACACATCCACTAATCCTCTAAAAGACGAAAGAAGAGAAGGCTCTGTGGAAATCTTACTGTGGCCTTTCAATACCCAAAGGAGGCTACAAGAAACCTGGAGAGGGGCTTTGGACAAGGTTCTGCAGGGACAGGACAAGGGGAATGGCTTTAACCTGCCAGAGGGGAGACTGAGGTGAGCTCTGAGGCAGAAGCTCGTCCCTGTGAGGGTGCTGAGGCGCTGGCACAGGGTGCCCAGAGAAGCTGTGGCTGCCCCATCCCTGGCAGTGTTCAAGGCCAGGTTGGACACAGGGGCTTGGAGCAACCTGCTCTAGTGGAAGGTGTCCCTGCCCGGGGCAGGGGGTTGGAACTGAAGGAGCTTTAAGGTCCCTTCCAAACCAGTCTGTGATTCTATGAAGATATGAGATTTAGAATGAATCTTGGAATGATGATTTTTAATCTACAATAAGATTAAAATTAGGATGAGAAGCTTTTGGTTTGCTCAAAAATTTCTGGAGAGGCAAATGGAGTGCTGGAAAACTAACGCTACAGTAAATCCCAGCCAAGCTGAAATGGCTAATTGTCATCCTGTTAAAAAGCACTGCTTGTTTTCTTTACCCAGTTGATATGCTTTCACTCTGCTGGGTGAAAGAGAAAGGAGAGGTCTTAAAATGCTCTGCTTGTGTATGCTCTGCTCTTTGGCTATTTGTCTTCAGCCTTATTTACCCTGGCCTGGAAGATTTTTTCAAATGATGCTTCTACTTGCAACTCTGGCATGATTATGATAATCCAGAAAATAGCTTCTCTAAGAGTAGCTGGGAAAATGCATCTTTGTATCTGAGTTATCTTTAAAAGAAGCCGGGCCTTGCACATGAGAGAGCGAAGGCAACAGGCAAGATGCACATCCATACTCTGCCCATGCAGCCTCTGCCAGGTACCTCCTGCCCCGAGCACACACGGTCCCAGCACATTAACTCCTCACCTGCGGTCCCCAGCCGTGGCACGGGTACAATATTGCTGTGTGGTTCTCCTGGGGGCCCTGGTCAAGGCAGACATCCTTTGCCTTGTTGTTTCGAAGCTGTAAGAAGTAAAAGGTGCAGTTATACAGCCCTGTCTCTTTGGAGATAAGCAATAAACTGATGTGCAGCAATGTCTCCAGCCTCTCTGGCTATAGGAAGAATAGATGGTGCTATATCACTAGGCATAATCAGGCAGAGAAGGGTTTAGTGTGCCATATGTTTTCTTTAAATACAAGGCCTAATGATGACTGCTTTTATATAATAATCACCATTCAAAGGAGCCAACTTCCTCGAATACAGTTTTCTTTGTATTTGGTCATGTGTGGTGGTAACAAACACAGTTTTAGGCTGCTGTCAGCCTGTTGCCAGGAGCCTGAAATCAATGCAGAGTCGCTGGTATTACATTGAAATCTCAAAGTGCTCAAAAAGGCAGCAAGGATAAAAATGTCCATAGAGCACAAGGAGCCCCTTCAAATCATCACAGGGATGCAGGAGGGGACACAGAGATGGCAAACCAGTTGTCAAGTACTGTAGGACACACTTCGGAGGGAGCATGGAAGTGCTGGGTTCATGCTACAAAGCTCAGTGCCCACTGAACCCCAGCCACCAGGTCTGTCAACACAGAGCTGCCCCCCCTCCAGGCTCCCCATGTAGGGCAACTGCAGCAATGCCTCTGAAAATAGCACTTTTTTGGAGGTTTTAGCTTGGAGGAATTAAATTACTTTGATAATAAATCTTTCTTAAAATTAATGCCCATGTGGGGTGCTCAGGCTGTGCTTCAAGGAGGCTTCTCAACCTGCCACCATTCCATGAGACCTACTGCAACAGAGTACTATTAGTTCCCATAAATGCCTGTTTTTATATTCCCAGTACGGTCTCAAAGCCAACAGAGATTTTGAATTAAGTCTCCTTACTTTATCTCATCCTTAAGCTGTTGTGACAACGCACTGTATCCTACAGAGACCTTGTAAGGAATTAGGCTCAGTTTAAGTCAAAAGGTTTTATAAGATGACTATGTATTAAAAATATACATACAGCTGCTTAATCCATGCAGTCAATGGGTAATATAGATAATTTTCTGTCAGTTCAGTAAATGAGGTATTAAAATATTTTACTGTATATGGTTTCCAAGCTCAGAAATAAATCCCAAAAATAGCTTTTTAGAAGGAACTGTGAAAAGACTTATACAAATTTATATAACTATACACAAAGAGCATGTGTTTTGAATCCCATTCCTCTCCTTTGAGGCTATTTCTCATCAGAGGCTCACCAGCTGTAAATATTACCAGTCTGCTCTAAGGGACTGCTCAGATGTAATTACCTCGCCATAAGCGATGGTGTTGTTGTATCTTCTCATTTCTGGGTAAACATGGTCCAGGTACCACTGGAAATTTTTACACTTCAAGCTCTTCCTCAGTGCTTTTCTCTCAGAAACATCCCCAATGTCAATACCTGGATTCTGAAAAATAAAAGACACATCGTGTCACTGAACAAGTAGTCTTAAAAAAGATTAAAAATGAGAGTATTTCACTGATGTTTGATATCATAGAATCACAGAATGGTTTTGGTTGGAAAAGACCTTAAGTTCCAACCCCTGCCACAGGCAGGGACACCTTCCACTAGAGGAGGTTGCTCCAAGCCCCTGTGTCCAACCTGGCCTTGAACACTGCCAGGGATGGGGCAGCCACAGCTTCTCTGGGTACCCTGTGCCAGCGCCTCAGCACCCTCACAGGGAAGAATTTTTTCCTTATATCCAAACTGAACTTTCCCTGTTTAAGTCTGAACCCACCACCCCTTGTCCTATTGCTGCAGCCCCTGATGAATTGTCCCTCTCTGGCACCCTTGCAGGCCCTCTTCAGATTTTGGAAACTGCTCTGAGGTCTCCATGCAGCTTCTCTTCCCCAGGCTGAACAGCCCCAATTATATCAGCCTGTCTTTGTATGGGAGGTGCTCCAAAAGAGAACCCAAATAGAGGAGAAAAAGTTTTGAAGGAAAAGTGCAGTATAACAGAGGTGAATCTTCAGTATTGTCATGGATTCCCCTGGGCTTTGGATCCATTTGAGAAAGACTGAATCTGCCAACAGGCACAAGAGCAAAGTATTTTCAAAAGAGCTCGCTTCCTGTTTAGGTACTGACATGCAGGACTCCCAGAAGAGCTTAGCAGTAAACGTACATCAGGATTTAAAAGATTTCCATGCTGAATCCTGGAAATGCAAACCCTTGTCTGTGCTCTGACCACCAAAACCCTTCCCCTTACATACCCTTACAAGGTATCAAATAAGGGGGGGAAAGAAAAGAAGAGAGAAAAAGGTAAGATTCATACATAATAGAGGTAGATAGCTAAGAATAAAGGACAAAAATTACAGGGGAAGAGAAGTTGAGACTGAACCTCAGAAAACCCTCTTGACAATTTGGACAATTACATGGTGAAATAGTCTCCCTGGAGACACAGAGGAACCCCATAGCTTGAGATGATTTAAAAGCAGACAAAGCTACAGAATCTGTCCCCAGAGGAATAATCTTACGGAGCCAGAAGCAGGGGCTGAAGGGAGCTGTCCCCTTTTAACCTTTTATTCCATTACAGAATCCAGGGAACTAATGCAGCAGCCAGGTGAAGGAAACTAAAGGCACACTGCAGCAACCCCTTTTACTCCTTCTACAGGTGCCTGGGTTCCAACTCTATTGTAGCTCCTGTTCTAATCTTTTACCATGATCATTAAATACAGCTGGGAAAGCAATTTTCCATTACAACGCTTGTAATGATCTTCTAATGAATTATTCACTCTGCTTTAGAGAAGATACCAATTTAATGCACAACTGGTAGCTCACAGGTAAAAATAAAGATGATTCAGTGTAGATAGGGAGGACAGGCTGAAGTCTGAGTGGGCAAGACGGGATGCAGAGCAAAGCAGGACCACAAACCAGTCAGGAGCTGAAATACTCAGTGCAAGGGGTTTGGCTTGGCTTTGAATAAAGCAGCATCACAGAATAATTCTATCTGTATGCATAAACCCCTGCACAATACCACCTCTCACACAAGGCTTCTCTAAACTTAAATCTGGTGTATATAAAGATCTCAAAATGGTTTTAGGATAACCCAGATATGTCTCCCCACCTGCAGCGCCACTTCGTGTGATGCTGCTTTTTCCAAGCTGCACAGGACCTGTGTCTTCCCAATGGATTTTAATCCCTTTTTGCCACCCTCCAAAGCTGTTCCTGAGGAGAGTATGGTGCCTCACCTCTAAAAAGGAATCAACCCAAGGAACAGGGCTGGACCCACAGTAATTTATGATCCTTGCCTATGGACGTTTGGAACTTGCAACCTTTCTTTAAGAGAGACCTGAAACGGCTAAGTCCTGCAAGCAACTCCTAATGCTTGGAGCAGTGCCCACCACAGACAGTGCCCTCCTGCAGCTTGCTCGGTAAATGGCATTTCTTTCCATCTCTATTCATCTATTTCTCTACAACAAACTAATCCCGGACTCCTCACCACCCCCAGGACAACAAACAGTCAGTGCAGGCAGCTCATTGACCCTTCAAAAGTACCTGTTGTTCTCTAATGCAGTACAACGCTGCCACTCCCGTGGCTCTAAATGCCAGTAGCTCTTCGAAATGTAACCTTTCCTTAGGAAGCAGCAGCAGTTCATGCTTTTATGTTTTAATGGTTTTTAAAATGCCCCGGAGTACAGCACTGCTGCAGCAGCATCAGGACCACAGCAGCTTGCTGCAGGGGTGTGATCTGCAAGGTGTATTTCATGTGTCTTTTCAGCACCAAAAGGGTGGCTATAAATAACTGCTCATATGGGGTCTGGCCACTCATGGCAATAGATTTTCTTCACACTTGAATAGAGCTGCCCAGCACTCATGCTTAGTACAGTGCAAGTGGAGTGGGTGTAGGGGGGCAGGGCGCCCAGAGTCCTCACCCCATCCATAACCTGGTGAGCATTGCTGCTTCCCCCTCCTCAACACCTCTTCTTCCTCTTGCAGGACCAAGATGGGGGGACCGGCTCAGCCAGGGCTGCTCCAAGTGCACTCCAGCAGTGCTCAGAGCCAAGAGGCAGGAGATTCTCTTGGGTTTCATGACTGGACATGGGCACGGACACCTTCCACAAAACCTCATGCGCTTTCTGCCAAGCAACTCTACAGACAGGCTCCACCTGTGGAGCAGCATTGTGACATAGACTCACACAGTGCAAACACTCAACAGGGAGATAAACACCACAATACAGGTTTCATCTTTAGAAATGAAAATAGAAAGGCTGACATGAATAGTAGGAACTCCTCCAAAGCCTGAAGGTTTTGCAGCATTTCTGTCAAAGCTGAGGGAGCTCTGCTGACTTCCATGGCTGTGAATGTGACCCAGGGTATTTAAGGCTCTCCTTCACCCAGGAGCACTTAAATGCTCTAAAATTCAAGTCTTTAACCCAATAAGTTAACATCCATCTGCACCTAAAGACATAGGAACAATGGCCATACCTCCAGTGGCAGGTTCCATGCGATGTAGACGTGCCACTTGTAGTCATCCATCCACACCTCGGCCACCCGCAGTGCGTTGCGCTTGGTGTAGAAACCAATGTTGTTGTTGTAGGGCTTCTTCTTGCGCTCGATGTGAGCCACCCTGGAGCAGGGCAGGACCTCCATGCTGCCACCACACAGCCACACCTGCAACACAATCACACAGCACCATCAGCACAGGGCTCAGCAAAGGGTCCACACAGACATTAACAAGAAAGAAGTGGTAGGTTTGAAGGTTTCTATAATGTCCTGGTGAGCACAGAGAATCACATCATCTTGCTGGCAATTGGAAACCCGTGGCCAGGTTTAGTCTTTACTCAATGGCAAGACACGGAGAATTTAACCGGTGCCCAGAGCAAAATGTGTCAACTTTAGAGGGATCAGGTCTATATCCAGCACATGGTATTAATGCATTGTAGGACTGGGTGCTGAGTTTACAGTGATGTTGCTACTAAATAAAAAGGATTAGTGATTGGAATAGTTCAAACCATTACAAGATCTCCTCCTGCACAGGGGATGACTCAGTGAAACATATGGCAGGCACAGATTTCTCCCACTTGAAACCATTTGTTCATTATTTTTCTTTCACGTGCTGTTTAAAATTCCCATAAATCTCAGTGTACAAGTCAAAGATCTTTTGAGATCTTCTTTTTATCACACAGAAAGGGAATCTGTAGGAAGATCTGCCATACCTCAGTTCTTCTCTCCCTGTCTTCACCAAGAAATTATTTCTCTTAAACTAAAGACATGTATCCAGGACACCAGGCACTGGGCAATCATCACAAACACATATGCCAAACAGGCCAAATAATCCCACTTTCGCCTATTTTGCAGTCTGCTTCCCATTATCATTTTGCAGTTGTTATAACACCCATCGTTTCTGGGATCTCTTCCAGGCTCACCACCTTTTATCCCATCTGTGTTCCCACTCTCCCAGCAGCACCAGGAGCCTCCTGGACTGGATCATCTACCCTTTTTCATCTCTAAGCAGTGGGTTTAGTGGGCACATGGACATGCCACGCCCAGGTGACTTGGGCAAGGGGCAGTACATCAGGGAGACATCTTCCCTTGGGGTAATCCTGCTACTTGTGCTGTTCTCACCTGGATGGCTGCAGAATACAGGAGCCCACATCAAAAAACCAGAGCCCTATCTTCTTAGCTGGTGCATTAACATGGAGAAAAATTCCCATCTTCCTCCTGTTCTGCTCTTTGACCTTTAAATACAATCTCATGGCTCCAGAGTGAATTCAGAGTCAATCTCCAAGATGAGGGGCATGTCCGTCCCTCTTGTCCAGCCACAACCACGCTCGCCTCTGGAAATTCCACAAGGTCTGCCTGAAGTCTTGCAACAGGCCACATGCTGGTAAGAATTGAACAAGGTAGTTCTCAAGAAAAATACATGTATTTTTAAAGGAATATTCCTAAGGCAATAGTTTGGCAGAACTGCCTGTGTTTCTTGCCTGCTGAATTCTCCAGTTTCTCAATGTCTTGGTGAATTAGGAGCATCGAGCTCTGCCCTTGGGTGCTCCCAAAGCTGCTGGGTTCAATGCTGAATGAAACTGCCAGTCCTGGAAGGTCCCCAGCACCATCTGGTTTTGAGTTTGGGGGTTTTGGTAGATTTTGTCCTGATATGAGGTCAGAAAACATGATCTAATTAAAAATGTCATTTTCCAGCAAGCTTGCCTCTAGCAGCAAAAGTGCACTATTGTCTTTAGCTAAATAATGCACATGGCTTTACACATGACAGTTTCCCTAGATATCTGGAATATCTGTGCAAACTATACTGAAATGCACATATTGTGATAACCTGAGAGAGAAAAAGTGCTGGGCATTGTGCAAAGGGCATTGGCTATATACGTATCCACAAGCCAGTTCCAGAGAGCTCAATAAAAATCTAATTCAGAAAAGGCACTTATGCAAGTTAAGGCCATCTCCTAAATAAAGCCTAAATCATTGTTATAAATTAAAAAAAAAAATCTATTTTTACAAGGTATTTATAAACATTTCTGCTGGCAACAAAAAGGGGACAGAGAGACCTATTACACTGGAAATGCCAAGTCGCACCCAGCATCATTGTCCTCAGTGTACAGAGGAGTAAACCATGGCCCCAAGAAGATGCTGCTGGCTCCTATGTGGCCTGGA